CGCCATTTGCGACTTAAGATAGCTTAAAAACTACATATAATTATATTTGAACAATTTTGAGTATGCTTAAAAATAAAAAAAGCAATGATTATGTGCTCAAAGTTCGTTTCGGAAAAGTAGAAATGGTAGCGCAAGTTGCATGGAGTCATACAGAGTGCGCTGTACATGCATATACAGTACATTGCGATTGAAAGTTAACACCAAAATGGGAAAATTTTTTCACATTTTTTCTCTTCCCAGGGAATTCCTTTTCATTTCACAAACTGTGAAAAAGTGTGCCACAAGTAAGAAAATATTTTCACACCTTTTCACACAAGTGGGAAAATATTTTAACAGATTTTCGATTTTCCTCTCAAGTGGGAAAAGATTTTCGCCCTTTTTCTCACGAGTGGGAAAAGATTTTCACAGATTTCCTCTGCTAGTGGGGAAATAATTTTGCAAGCTTTCTTCATTTAGTAGTATTTGTGCATGTACATGTAGACATCAGGAAGTTTTTGTTCTCTGTGGTTGCACATCTCTGAATACGGGAAAGTGGAGGAAAATTAGTCTGAGAGAAAAGTTCTTCAATTCTCAGGAATATTCAGATTACTTGAGGAAGACAGCATTAAAATTTCAATGCAGTATGTTTCTTGCTTTTGAGCAAAATACCATGCAACAGGAGAATCAAAGCTGGCTTGGTGGAGGTTGGAGACAAGCACCGAACACCTAACAGCTGAATTACAGTAGATTGCCGTTACAGCGCTCTCTAATATGTCTTATATTATAAGCTATGAGCGTTTAAAAATTAAATTAACCCACTTGGATGGATGCTCAACATGTGCACCGCATATGTGCACATGTACATGAACATGTATCCACATGTTGTCATGTATGTAAATTACATTTACTTGTATTGGCAAATGTATGTACCGTGATTTTGGAATAAATGCCTTGTATCCGGTTATTTCGACGTTCGAGTGAAAACTGACCCGATATGTCACACTGAACACAATCGGCGAAAAGACGAGATTTGCTACATGAAAATACACATACAATTTAAGCAGTTATTTTATTCGTCAATTGTAAGAAATCTTTCGGTAACAAAATACTTCATGCAGTATTTCATTGTTGATTTTTTATGTGCCAAACTACACCACGAAAATAAATAAAAAGTGGACAAATAATCCATGTTGCCACAGCCGAGCATGTTAAGTTTATTGTAATACACACATTTTATGTGCTTCGTGACTTCATAACTTGGGGACTCCTGTTTATAATAATCACTCAACATCCAGACAACTTTTTAAACATTTATTCTCAGACATTGACGAGTGTTTATCTATGGTAATCCAAGAAAACAACTGCGCCACGTAAGCGCGGGTCGCCGTAGTGAGCACATCCCTGTGATCGCGCTGCATGGACCGGACGGCTCGGCCGAGGAAATCGTTACTAGACTACAACAGCACACTCCACGTTGTGAGTTGGCCCGACCGGCCGGCCCCAAGCGAACCGCAGCCTGCGTAATGGACTCTTCACTGCATAATAGTCGTGTGGCAAGCGTTGAGCATTTTCGCTGCACAATGCTTCTCATTTTCGCAAGTTTCCGCATGATTTTCGGAACCTTTCGCACCGCTTTCGCAAAATTTTCACACAGTTTTTTCTCAATGTTTTTGCAACTGTTTCATAAAAGATTCAAACCGTTTTCGCATGATTTTTGCACTGTTTTTGCACGTCGTTCGACGAATTTGCTGCAAATTCACAGGAGGGAAAAGTTGTGGTCAAAATGCGAAATTGAATTCCTTTCGCTTTTTTTCCCCCTTCCTTTTCGCAGTATTAACTTTCAAATGCAACGTACTGTATGCCATACTTTACATGTACACGTGTACAGTACACGCGTCGCGATCACGCGTTAGGTTGGTTCCCGATCTAAACATACATTGCACTGTATACGGACACCAGGGCCATTTTATAAACCACAGTATGGCATGGGCTCCATTTTTTGCCGCTTTTTTGCTGCAACGTAAATGAAACCTGAAACGGAGCTCATGCCGGAATTACAGGGTGTTGCCGTGATTTAGAGTGTCAGAAATAGCGCAATTCATGCAGCAGGGTGTCCCGCGACACGCTGAAACTACGGACGTCATAATGTTCGTGGCTAAACCGTAGGCGAAAACCCTGATTTCGTGGATTGACCTCATTGGCGCTTGTATGTGTAATAGGATGAATTTCGTGCCCCCCATTTTTTTGAAATTCTAACTCCCCTAGAGTTAGGTCATGTAGTTTCTTAGAAATGTGTGGGTTGCTTGGCAGCGCGTGTGGGGAGGTAGCAGAACTTGCAACCAACCACAAGAGTCCTTGAGTAGGAGCAGATAAATTCAGTGGCCAGTGACCCTTCACTCCACTTGGCTACTGGACTCAACAGAGACTCTTCTGTTGTCTCTGTGATCTCTCCTTGCATTGAACCTGCCACAATTACATATTCGTCCCTGTCCTGCTCTAGGTGAGTTTGAGGATACTTTTGTGTTACTTTTATGCCTAGATTGAAGTGTCTATTCTTCAACGTTTAGACCAAGTCGTCATG